GATGCCAATTGAAACACAGTAAGGGCACCCAGTTAAGTTGTCTGCACCTAATCAAAGGTTTTCATTGTCCAGCTGAAAGCCCTACAGGTAAAGATAGCTTCTGAAGACTTCATTTATGAAATACACTTATCTACTTGTTTTGGCAGTTATCTAATAGATGGCAAGGTCCAAGTTCTGTTTTGCATCAGCCTGTGGTTCTTTCAAACTCAAAGCAATTCTAATGTTATGAGAAAGACAGAATCTAGATTCCCTGATCTACCCGGAGTAGAACAAAAATTTGTGTGGGTTTAATAATATGGGATTTGGGGAAAAAAAATAGAATGGGAAATTAATTTTATGGCCTGAAAGAGTTTGAGACATAAGAGATTTCTACCTTAATCAAGAATTAAACATTCTGTTGTTGGAAGTCCAAATTTCAGGAGATCCTATATTCCACTTCAAGTATTCTAAATTTCTTTTAAAAGCTCCCTTTAGAATTTTCTAATTTATAAAATTTAAATTTTGTACCAATTCCCCCTTTGATCTCAGGGGGGAAAAAAGATTTTGCTAGGTTTTGATAAACTGATGGTATTAATTAGAACATATTTTCAATAAAAGTGTAACTACAACCAATAACTTTGATCTCCAAATTAAATTTTCCAACTTAGGCATCTAAATCCAACTGCTAGATGCTTATGTTTTCTTATGCTTCCTTAAGGTATCGACATGGTGCTGCCAACCCAGCATAGGGATCTCTTACTTACTCTTGATGCCCTGATTATCCCTGGTCCCAGGAGGGACAATGCTACTAGAGCTAAGACTGGAAGGACCTAGATGCAGACAAGCTAGGAGGCCCATAGTCCTGTAGAGGGCTCTAGTTTAAAGTATGGCACAAATCAAACAAAAAGCAACCAAGGACACCAAATGGAAAACGCCCTTCTGCTTTCCTCTGCATCTCCGATTACAGAAGTTTTTGCTGCAATTTATTTCTCTTTGGAAACAACTTTTTACAGCTGCACATGGCAAGTACTTAAGAAGAGAAGGTGGAAAGAATGATTATTAATGGATTCTGCCAAAAAAATAGGGCAAAGTCTTTCACAGCTTAGGACAAGAACTAGTCAATCTTCCCCTAAATGAAGGGGAGACATGTCCTGTGCTGCCTTCCTGAGAAGGAAAACAGCACAGCTGCACTGCCTACTGCAGCAATTCCAGCTGGAAACATACAGCACCCTTCCACTTTCTACTTGTGAAGCTGGTTGAGTCAACACACACTAAACCAGAACATTTGCCCAAGTCATGGTGAGTAAAAACCAAGCAGTTCCATTTGGTTATTGGCATTTTATTTTAAATATTTATATATCTAATTGTTTTCTAGGACCTTTGACAACCAAATGTTTCCATGCAGCAAGTGTAGTCAAAGGCAGTGTGCCATGTGGGTGCCAGCCCTGGAGGGCCTGGGTCTACCACAGGGCCCAGGCCACTGTAGTGACATCCCACATGAGGTCATCTCTAGCTGATTGCGTAGGTCAGACCCAGATGGACGTGCTAGGCAGGTGAATATGCCAAGAGGGACAAATCCACATCTTGCCTGAACTCGGCAGGAGCCACAAGCCATTGCTTGAGGAGAGACAAGCTGCCCCAGACAGCTGCTCTGGGGTCCACAGCGGCTCCTGCTCTTGCCAGGTTTTTGGAAGCGGTGCCCAGCCAGCATTGCACCTTTATGCTAGCTGGCAGCTCTGAGGCAGCCTGCCACACAGGCCGTGCAGGACCTCACTGGGAGCCCAGGAAGCAGCTGGGTTGGGAGGTTATTTGCCTCCATTCAAGACAGCAGGTCTAGCTGAGCTCCTGCTAGTATTCCAAATGCAGCTTTTTGCATAGAAAGTAATAGTTTGTTGTAGTGCAAGCTAAAAAAAAAAAAAAAAAGGTATGTATGGCATACCACTGCTACGAAAAAACATACCCACAAAACCAAAAGCAGCCACATACCATCATTCAACACCTGCATTTCCTCTTTAGAACATTCAGCATGTCCTCTTACTCAGGAGAGTCGTCCACAGGACTGCTCAAATTTGTCCTTGCTAATGCCAGTCTACCAGAAGCTCAGAGGAGAAAACAAATTAGTCACAGCAGGCTGGAGTGCTCAGTGCAGGTGCCCTGAAACAGTAGGTATTGGAGGGTGGCAACCAATTTCCCCTTTAATTTATTTGTAATAGGAGTGGCTCTCACAGTTGTTAAGCCCTAGCTAAAGTTAGCATCACATCTGCCAAATCCTGTAAATACAGCCAAAACCCTGATCTGACTGAATGATTTGGTTAGCTTGCATGGGCAAAACCAGACTGGGTTTATTTTCAGAAAATCTGAAGGCTAAGTTTAGCATATGGCAGACTGAAATATGACTCCCAACATCTCTGCTTTTAAAACCAGAATTTGTAATTAAATGGAGAGTTAAGAGTTACTTCAAATCTGAGGCCACAGGCTTCCAGATAGAAAGAAAACTTTTTCCAAACTCAGAGAGCTGTAATATCTGGATCAAACCCACAGCTGCCAGGAAGCTTTGTATTGATTTATTGGGTCATAAGACGTTATTACTCTCATGAAGTCTACTTTCTCTCTTAAACTGCAGCCCTGATGACCGGCAAAGGATCATTGTTTTGTTCTATATCTGCCAAGGCCCCTGCGAGCAGACAGACTCCCAGAAGGCCAGTTTAGAGGGAGTGCCAGTCCAGGCACCACCACACAGCCAAAAAGCCCTGCTTCACACCAGGGCTGCTGTGTGAACAAAGCACGAACTCCACAGCCAAACGCTTCTTTAGGTGAGCCCTGATCCATTGGAACTTGACATTAGGAAATGCTGTTCACTGCAGACCAAGCTGGTTTTGCATAGCCAGCGTGAATTTCAAGTTTGTCATTAGTAACAGAGAGTTGAGATCTGTGCTAAAAATGAGTAGTTTGCCACAACTGTTCACCAGAGACAGCAGCAGGTCCTGCCTTTTCAGGTCTCCCTCTTATGCCAGGATCAGACCTGGTTGTTTCGCGCCAGCTGCTTAACAGTAACTCAATGCTTAACCACAGTGCTGAGTATAATGCACTCATTTTACCCGTTCACTCTCAAATTACAGGAGCAAAATCTCCTCAGGAAACTCAGGAACAGAGTTTTACCTTCCCTTCCTGAAAAGTGGAACATGGAATATACAGTACTGTACATATGGAAATATTAATTTTAAAGGCAATGACTATTCAGCTTTCATCAATAACCAGAAAATTCTGAGTCATGTCAACAAGGAGACTGAAATACTGAACAAAAGACAGCAGGGCTGGAAGAAGGCATCTACTCTTCCACTGAGTCACTATGGCAGGTATTTATCTCTTTTCTCTCTAAAAATCTCCACTGATGGAAACTCTGCAATATCCCTCAGTCATCTACCTCATTAGTGTGACAGCTAGTAAAGCTTTTCCCAGTACTTAATTTAGACCTCCTCTGCTGTGATTTCATTTATTATTTCTCATCCTATTTACAACTAAGGCTCAGAAGAATTTATTCCTTTCTTCTTCATGGTTTTTTGAAAACTGCTTACATGTCTCTTTGATCTTCTCCTCTTTAGGCTAAGCAATCATATTTCCTCCAGTCTTTCTTCACAGGTTGTATTTGTGCTGTCTCTCATCATTATTGCGTTCATAGGACGTTCCATACTCCCATACCATATGTGAAATAGGTGAAGGATGACATAATTCACCATCTTTATCTCAGCATTGCATTGTAAGTTTTTTCGCAGCATCCAATTTACTAATTTGAAATAAAATATAAATGTCAATTTAAAAATACTGATATTTTTCCTTATCTGTATGTCTCCCTCCTTTAAACAGGCCATCCTTTCCTATCAACAATGCCCAAAAAGGTATATTTGACTACTGATTACACAGTAGTACCCTCTTTTTTGGTCCTGTGGAAATAACGCTTCAAAAAATAGTCCTTGCACCGATCCTCATCCAGTAGCAGTCCACCATGCCTGGTAAGAGTTGTGGATCCACAAATGAAGTGAAACATTTCTGTTCCTAGGGTTAACTCTTCCCTCTCACATCTCCCAAGCCTGGCACACAGATTTCTTCAGACAGTGGTTTCCAAAGCAAGTGCACTGCTGAAACTACACCAGAGCATCAACCCACATGGCTCCAGCTGTAGACCTTCTCAAGGAGGAACCCTGAATGGTTTTGTGCTCACGTCTACAGAGAACCAAAATCCCAAGTACCTCTGGGACCCTCCCAGCATCAGTTTCTACCTGGTCCACTAATCACAGAGAAGCCACAGTTGGGGCTTACAACACAGGGCACTTGAGATAGAAAGTAATACTTGATCTACTGGACTGCACCAGCTCTAGGTCAGCATGTTGCAGCCTACCTACAGCACATACTTTCTGATGGAGACTCTGCTTCAGTGAAAAAAAAAGTAAACTTATTGTTATTTCTTTCTTTCTCATTAACTGTATGTTTCAGTGAAACTTTTCATACTATTACTGTTCATTAGCACCGCACCATAAACATTGTAGGCTTCACTGTGCAGTTTTCAAGTGTAATGCCATCTGCTCTAAGTCATGACCAACAGTTCTTGGTCATATAATATCTCAGGTCTCCTGACCTACTTGCCAAGTGTTAAATCCCTTCACTGCTAGCCTCGTGCTACTGGAATGAAAACAGAAAAAACAACAAACCAACCCGCTGCACATGTTAAAAGCTTGTGGATTTGGCACAAAATTTGATGCAACCTAAGGCACCTAACTCTGTCATTAGGAAAGGTGTGCCACATCAGAGCATGCCAGTAAACTGTTACTGCCATTAATCGTGCCCTGGAGAAGAATGACTCCTGTATTGTCACACTGCAATCTAAGACATGAGATGGCTCTACACCTTCCAACTCTCACAGGCCAGGAAAGCCACACGCCAGAGATGCTTCCCTGTGCTGCTGCTCCCACTATGACTTCTACCCACTCCCATCCCTCTCGGTGCAAATCCCACAGGTTCTGTACCTGGTCACCAGCAGGAGAGATGCTTTCATAGAATAGGAGGCCTGGTCAATTCATCCAGAATACACTTCCTGAAGTTAATGGAATTGCAATAACATTTCCCAGGTTGCACACTCCTGCAGGAAAAAAATAAAAGAACTATTAATTGTGAACCATTTGGGATCACAGAGACTGGGTACCTATCTACTACGTATTTCCTTGCATAAATTGAAATTCTGCATGAGAAACTGGCAGCATGTGAAGAAGAGCCCCTCTCCTTTTAAAGAGGTATCAGAACAGGAAAACACACTGGCTGTGCTCTCCATATCAGTCCCTAAGGTCAAAGGACCCAATTTGTTCTCAAAGAAATTTGAGATAATTCCCCCAACTTCAGCATAGCATAGTAAAAGTCAATATAAACGGTGGAGAGAAAACAGAAAAGCATAAAAACCCCACAGATGGACATGATGGTAAGACTGAACAGAATTATCCACTACTACAGTTACTCCTCATAAGAGATGTGGTTTGATGACTAGCTTTGTAATACGGAGGTTTCTATAGTTTAGGCTAGAGAAAAATGCAGGCAAGAGCTGAAAAAAAATCAATTAAACAAAAGTAAAATTAAACTCCTTCAACATCGAGATGCTTTTAACAGCTAATTACAGAAATGACTTGCAGAACTTGCATTCACGTGTGGGGGCAAGGAAGGTAGAGGGAACAGCTAGCAAGAGATGTGCTGCAAATAATGTTCCAGCAAAAGATACACCTGTCCATTTGATGTATTTAGCATTAGAAAAAAGTATTTAACAATCCAGTAATTTTAAAATTAAATATAAGAACAGTAACCATTCAGCATTTTACAGATTTACTTCTATTTAGAAACCAGTCTCAAGACTGCAGTCCCTCACTGCCATGAAACCTTGGCATACACTATGTGGTAAAATGAAACCTACCAGGGGATCCTGCTATAAACTCTCTGAAGCCGGCTCATGCAGTTCAGGTTTGCATTAGGTGGTGTTGCACATCTTAACTCCTACTTTTTCCCTTGCAGAGAGTAGAATACTGTGGATGTGGATCCAAGTGCACAGTGGACACAAGACCAACAGAATAATGCAGTCGAGTAGTTTTGGGGAGCAAAACTGGCCAGTGAGTAAGGTGGCATTGAGTGGTTTATTCTGTTTATTTGCAGAATTCTTTAATGTTGCTTTCATCTAACTGAAGTTCTCTCAAACCTAAAAGCTTCTATACTAACACTGCCCAAGGGAAAGAACCAAACATAAACAATGAAAAAAATCATAGAGAAAAATTAATTTTTCTTCCATAGATGCTATGAATACACACAAACACATGCACACAGCCTCTCCTCCTTCTGAAGTTCAACAGAAGAGCAGCATTTTTTCCCCGAGCACAGAATTTGTTCCCATCTGGTTCCATTTTTTACTATTTTCTTTTTTGGTTACCTTCTCTCTAATTCCAATGCATATTTATTTCATTTTGTTTAGTCTGTGCTCTTTATTCCCTTTCCTCTTTTTGCAGATTTCATTTTTAATTTGTTAGAGGAAGAAGCATTCTTTCTCTCGTTTTCATAATATAAGCTGGTGGAAAGGGCCCATTCAGAAATCCTCCCTCTTCAACAACCACTCCTGCTCTTTCAATCCTGGTTGCCTGTGTTCACTCCTGGTAGCAGAGTAGAAGTGTTAGGGTTTATTTATTTAGGAAAGTATGTTGGTTTATTTTTTAATTCAATTTCAAATGCCTGGCACAAGCCTCTGCGTGGAGGCTCAAATATATTATTTACAAGCCATTATATTTAGCTTAAAACAACTCCTAATCTATTTGAGATGAGCCACTCTAAGACAGGATTAGACTGAAATGAAAATGTCTGCAGTGGGATTTTACTAAATTGCTTTTAAATCACATTCCTAGTTAAACAGCGCTCTGGTGAAGGCTATAAACCCTAATACATCAGAAAGGCTGCTTTGGGGCAGAACTTTGGCGCTCTGAAAACTTGCTGGTTTTACAGAAGCAGAGCAGCCCAGCTAAGGCCAAAGCCTTCTCTGTGTGTAAAACCCCAAAGCCTGAAACATGAGAGCAAGCTGTCAGTGCCGAGCCACAGATCTGTTAACTGCCCAGAAACAGAGCCTCGCTATTCCCATCTCGCCCAGGCCCTCAGTGCCCCACAGCAGGGCCAGATGCAGCATCCAATTCCACGTGTGGGAGGAGGCGAGTACTTTCCTGCTTGTGCAGCCTGGTCTGTCTGGAGCCACTGCGTCCATCTTATGCAGATGTTTCTACGCCGAGAACAGGATGAACGTACTGGGTGGGATGAGGAGGCTGAGAGAGCTGTGCAGCTTAGTCTGGTTTTCTACATAAAACCAGAAATGTTCTTAAAAATACTTGGGAAGAAGTATGGGCAGTTTTAGGAACACTTTCCTGGCACTCAAATCTCTGATTTTAACATCTGCCATGCCCTTGTTACAGCACTGTCATCCCCAGCAGCTGCATTTTGTGCTAGATTGCTGCCACTGCCACTCTACAAGCCCCCCTGCCTGACAGGTTGTGACCTTGCCTGAGCAGGGGGGGCACCTGCCACCATCGCCTGAGTCCTGTGTGGCTGTCACCTCGTCTTCCCCCCAGCATCCTTGGGCCCCATGTCAGGATTTAGTTTTAGTCCATATTCTGTGCAGTATTGCTGCTATATTCTGCACTTTATCATCATTACGGTTATTTTCTTTGTAACTTTCATTCCAACTTTGCATTGAAGATTTATAATTAAACACAATCCCCTAGTAATTTAAAAGTAAAAATTATATTTTTGCACAGGAGTACAGAACATGCATCCCTTCAAACAGTCTCCTTCTGAGAGCTCCCAAGTTCTCCAGAACCAATCAAGTGCCATATTATTCCGGATACAGTGTGTTCCCAAGTCAAAACCCTCCAGCACAGAAAAGCCATGATGGAATTCCTCAGCAGAAATCACAGGAATAAGAGAAAACCTTAACAAGAGACTACACCAGTAAAATCAAAGAGAACAGCTACTCGGTACAGCCAAAACAAAGTGAAGTTTTCACCATAGTCAGTGGTTTTAACCTGTGCTTGGAAAACTGCTTTCTGGTATTTATTCACTGAACACTTCTATTAAAAATTCAGACCATTTACTTAATATGAAAGTCTTAACAAGATAGAGAAGATTTCATTCAGACATCTAACGTGACTCAGGTCCACACTGCTGTTGTATTGCAAGGCAGGCTCCAAGCTTCTCACAAACCAAGCTACCTCACAAATGAGCTTCCTATTTTTGCCCTGTACCATTCTGCTCTGAAAGCCCCAGTTGTTTACTACCTGCTAATGCAACTGCCATAGAGACCACTCCTTATCCACTGCCACCAAACATCAGTGAAAATACACATTCAGAACTCCCGTAGGACAGTTAAAGAGATGTTTTAAGAGAACTAACCTGTGCTATTTGAATCCGTTGGAGGTCACCCAGTTCTGAACTTCCTCAGCAGCTTCGGTCTTGTTTCCTGTAGAGTGGCATGTGACACCACACTTCCTCACCGCACCTTGCTAGACTCCCTTTGCTTATGCTTTAAAATCAGATGAAACAAGTAACTGTCCCTCACAGCATGTTTAAGAAATTTCTGATCTAATGCTGAACCACTGACATTTTTGCATAGCCAGAGAGCCCTCCTCTACTGCCTTCTGAATCACTCCATGATTCAATGGACCTTTCTGTACTATTTCTTTATATTAATACCCAATGCTAAATGTGATTCTGTTACAGTACGCTCAGTGTCCCACCTCCTTCTTTTAGAGAGGAAACAAATACAGTAGTGGAGAATGTAATTACACTGCAAGTGTGGGAAACTTCACTTTAAGGATATTTGTTTATCAAATTTTCATAGTGGTAATGAATTGATGAATTCAAACAGATGGAGTTATCAGCAATTTTCAGAAATAATTTCCTTTGAATACAGCAAACAGAAGTTTGAGGCCTATGAAAAGTAGTTCACATCTTCAGAAGAGTAGTGTTTTCTCAGTTGTAACAGTGTGAATCCATATACTGTTATCTAGTGCAGGGACGAACAGGCCTGAATTTATGTCACAAAAGGAAGGACATTAAAGTCCTGGATTAGGGTAGTATGTTTACAGGACTAGTCAATAGGTGTTGCTTTATCATATTTATTTTAAAGTCATGTGAATTTTGGAAAGGCAATCTAATCCTAAGTAGCACCAACACCAGAAATACTGACACAGCCTGAAGATAAAGTTTGGAGGCTACCATATCAGAGGAGAAGCAGAATGGACTTACCAGGGTCAGCAAGGAGATACTGTTCTGCTCAAAGGTGTTCCTTGTGGAACACGTTAAACACTCTTCAATTAGGCTAATGGAAGGGGTGGAGATAAATTAAACATCCCTTTATTTAGTGAGGGCCGAAATAACAACATCCAGTGCCTGGGGCACTGATCAGCCTGGCAAGGACTGTGTGAAGGCAGTGGGTTACAAAGCCAGAGGGGTTCCCTTACAGACTGAGCGCAAACATCTGTGCTGGAGCACAGACTGGGTTTAGCTGCCTAAGTGTGAAACTGAAGACCCTGAAGGTAGGAAGAGAGCAAATAAGCAGACAGCAATGCTGTATGTTTGGGATGCAAAGTTTTTGGCAGCAACACTCATTCATGGCTGTCCTGCCAACATCATTTGGTTCTCGCACCACACGCCACAGCTATCTCAGGTGTGTTGGCACAGTGGTTCCACAGCCTGTGCCATCGACCACATTGAGGAACTGATCTAGTGGTCAAAGGGTGATTAGTTTGCTTTTGTTTTTTTTTCCTCACTCTAGGGCATGAGGGAATAAGTGTTAGCAAGAAGCCACTACCCAGGCTGTAACACAAAACCACTCTCTATAGTGAGAGACCTAAGCCAATGGGAACTGCTTCTCTGCCCATAAATTGATGCATTCTATTTAATTTCTACATAAATTAAGAGGTTTCCACTAAAATGTCATCTTTTAAATTAACCTGTGCCAGATCAAGACATCAATGTTGTGAGCAGCCTCACGGTGACCACCGATCAGGGATTACATTCCTAGCTGCTGCCTCAGGGCTTCCTACCACTGCTTGCTAGTTTACTACTATC